TGATGTACACTGACACTATCATCCATAAAAACGAAGTCTGTACAAGTGGAACTTCAAAATAGTTAGACGTTCAATTGATTCCCATGAATGGATTCTTGTAAGAAAGCGCTTATTAAAAAAGAAGTGCCAAAAAGCTTTGCTTTCTCGTACACAGAAAATATGCGACTTCAGTGAATTTAAGAAAGATAAATTAACACTTTGAAATCTGCCATTCACGAGAGAAACTACCACACAGCATTTACAACAGCTACGTAACAAAAACCAAGCATATACATTGAAACAGAAGGAAAATAGATTATGAGATTATATTTACCACACCCCCTATATATTGTATAAGCACTGAGTAAGAAAAATATCATATTATGAGAATATATTTATTTACCTTATGCCCTACAATATTTCAGATGCCTGAGCAAAAGCACTAAAGAAATTCACAATGACTTTAGACAATGATATTTATTTCATCCAACAAAATCAAATTACTATTCAGAAAGGGAGAGATAATGAATTTCCCTTTCACAAATTAGTATGCGTGGATAAAAAAAGAGAGGAAAGCACTACTAATAAACACATGAATGATAGAAAACAGACGCTCCATACAAATAGCAGAAATTATTTCACCACTTTTTTGATGAAGATCTGGCAACCCTACACATAATTATACAACTGCATTTGGGAAAGGACATCTGTTAAGTGTTACACAATTCAGAAAACGAAAACGTATACCGACTTATTAAAATTTAACATGAAAAGTGCACAATTAACTCTATCTATCAATGAACATGTGCTCCTAAAAGTAGGTTTATTTAAAGCCAGGTAAGTGCGAAATTTGTGTAAAATACAAGGTCATCGAAAAAGAAATGCAGGTACTATAAAAAGTTATCACCCAAAAACTACTAAACACATCGAAATTATTCGAATGTTAAAATGTGACGAAGCAACTTAAATTTTGTTGACTAAAGGCTTAAGATGTGATTGAGAAATTCCTCAGTGCCTGGATCCAAAGGAATCCATTTCTTTGGACTAAGGCCAGTCTGCTTTGCTGTAAAATACACACCATATTTACCTCCCCCTGTTGTGTGACGAATGCAGCAAACCTACTAAGGGGAAAGGGTTATGTAAGCAGGTATTTTTTTACATTCGATTTTTTAATATTATTTTAGGTTCAAGAAATAGTTAATAAATTAATATCTACGTGAAATTTGAAGTCGAATTGTCACTTAATTTTTGAGGTAGGCTGCACCGCGCGCGTCAAAATGTGTCTTCAGAAGACATTTAAAGTTTTTAGTACGAAAAAGTAGTACTCAAGTAACGATTAAGTAGTAGTATGCTGCTATATAAGCAACAGAATTACTGAAATTACTGATTTCAAGCTAAATTACATTGTTAATGGGTTGATTGCCTTTTCTTGTGCTTTTACATATTGTTAGTTTTATACATTTTTTGAACGATTTCGATAAAGAATTAAAGAAAGCATAATTACTCAGAAAAAAAAAAAAATCTAGCAACAGTTTATTACTGGAAATGAGAAATATCGTCTGCTACTTTTAAACTGATTCTTCTTTCAAAATGTCACATGTGAACAAGCTGTGGAATGAAGGCTATGTTTTTGCGCTTTCCGAAGATCTATATTTCTATTCCACAATTCAAAAACGTTGTACAATGCATGGTATTAAAATTTCTAAGTACAGACCAAGCAGCATTATCAATCGGAAATGGAGAAACTTCCAATCATTACTTCCCCATGGAAACAAGCCACTAAATCAGTGGTTCCCAACGTGACCCCAAGGGTCCATGAGAAATTAAAATTGATTTGGGGGGGTCCTTGCAAAATGTCATGGGGTCCGCGCAAGGTTTAGTACGAAATAATAAAATTGTGATCTATTTTATCATTATTGAAATTTAAATAAATGGCAATAAATAAAATATTACCGACTTTTACGTCTTGAGTGAAATATAAATATAGGTGAGTGCTTAAAATACAGTATTTTACTTAAGTACTGAGCGTTATGTAATACCTTTTGTGAATTAACATTGAAAAAACTTATTTCCACTAATTTGTCTCTTGTAGTAACAGTGATGATGTGTTTAACTTGTTTTAATGTTATTACTAAGTTATTGTTCAATTTACTTCAATAAATTTAAGCTTTCAATTCGGATCAATACGATAACAACAACACAACAATAAAAAACTGAGATAATCTCTCAAAAACGAAAATAAAAAACATCTACTGACACATGCCTATGATTTAACAGCTCTATATGGCGCCAGCTACTTAAGTTAATAACAAGCATGGCATGATGTGAGACAGACGACCGAAAACAGGTTTATATAGGAACGCAATAACGCCGGTACATACACTAACTTGTCTACAATATAAAGTATAAACTGTAAAAAAGTCGTACACACCCTTAACGTTGTCTTAGGGATTACTTAACTAATGTTAAAAGTTTAGTTATTGTACTAACAATATAGTAATCTCTTAACGTTAGTTTTGGTGTAGTTGCATTTTTTTGTATTGCTAACAGATAGTGTACTTTTTTTATTAAGTATATTTGAATAAAATTGATGTCTTTTGAAAAAAAAATATATATTACATTTTTCAATATAGTAATTCCTTAACTTTAGTTAACGTTAAAACTTTTTCTGTACAAATAAAACTTGGGAAGAGGAGAATGCTCTCAGTTTCCAAATCTTTTGAAATTGCGAAACAGAGATGAAGATTTGCTTGCTTACTGTCAACATCTAACGGCTCTTCATGCAGGCCTGAACCCAAGATTTGAAGACATTCTTCACTTATATATTCCCGACTGGATGTTGAACCCTTTTAGATGTGGACAAACTCAGATCCCAAACACTGATGAATCCATACAGGAACACCTTATTAAAATATTCACAAATGAGGAACTTAAACCAATGTTTGAACAAGGATACCACAAATTCTGCTTACAAAAAGAGATTCCAATTTTATATCCTGCATTATGGGTTATTGTATTGAAGTTGTTAGCTGCTTTCCCGTCTTCCTATTTGGCTGAACGTGGATTCAGTGCCGTTATGATCCTCATGACTCTCCCCCCAAAAAGGAAAAAAGAAATCGAATAGAAATTAGTGCTCGTGGGGATTTGCGGTTACTTCTCACAAACATTGAGGCCGGATAATACACTGGTGTGCAAAAATTAAGGACGAAGTCGAAAAATTAGCATATCAGCTGAACGAAGAGGCAGAGCGGACAGAAAGACCAATCAGGAGATTAAGTAAGGTGATGTACGGTAGCACATGCGCAGATATGCAGGTAGACGTAATGGGGGAGTGTCTGAGTAGTATAAAGCATGTTGTCGGTGTAAGATCAGTATTTCTGGCAAAGAGATTGCACGCCGTATAGCAGTTAAAATCACACCGAGTTGCTGCCTCAGCGAGAAATGGCGAATAATCAATCTGTTAGACGACATCTGGATGCTTTTACCCGAGGTCGAATCATTGGGAAGTTGGAGGAAGGCCGCAGTGTGACAAGTGTGGCTGCAGAGTTCGGAATTGCTCACAGCATCGTTTCACGACTTTGGAGACAATTTCAAACTACAGGAACAGCTATCCGGGGGGTTTAGTAGTGGTCGCCACACCCGCAGATGACCGGTATATTGCCTTACAGGCCAGAAGAAACAGGCGGCAGACAGCGGGAGAAATGAAATCGCTAGACACACGACACAGGCGACTGGACGACCGATATCGCGTTTTACCGTGGCCAGAAGACTGCACGGTGGTGGTCTGTTTGCACGACGCCCTGTACGGTGTGTACCTCTAACGCCTGCCCATCGGAGAAGGCGTTCTCTGTGGTGCCGGGAACACCGGAATTGGAGAGAGACAATGAATGGGGACGAGTACTCTTTACAGATGAGAGCAGATTCAGTCTGAGTAGCGATTCTTCATCGCATACTCATCTTGGAGAGAGCGGGGAAGCCGCAATCATCCCTCGAACATCATTGAAAGGGACAGGTATGGAGGTGGCGGTGTTCTCGTTTGCGGAGGCATCATGCTTGGTAGTCGTACAGACCTTCACATCTTCGACGTAGGTTCAGTCAACGGGTCTCTCTCTTCAGTCCTCTTCAGTCACAAGGATAACACAAAGTCTGGTTTATCAGTTTTTTGTACTGAATTTGAATTTAAATTTAATTTAACTTGATTTAATTGCTGCCGAGTGTGGGAGAGGGTCGGATCAATGGATGCTTTTGATTTTAGTTTCATTGGGCCTGGTCCTGCTTATGTCCATATGTGGTCGGTGAATCGGATCGCGTCTATTTCTGCATACATATATATGTAAGCTTTATCAGCACTTTTCTGTCATCGAGAACGATTCAGAAATATATGTGCATGTGTGTGCATGTATGCACACTTTGCCCGGTGGCAAGTTCGCCAATTCAGAGTTTCGTTAATCGGCCCAGTAGAACGGGAGATACAGAACTGTCTCTCCTCTTTTATGCAGAGTATACGTATGCATGTATGTGTGTTTGGATTGCGTGTTATACACACGCATCCATGCACATACACATACATTTTTGCATGCGGCCCCGATACCAGAAAAGTATCGCTAACTTTTCAATGCCAGGGCTATACAATTTGACTTTCTGCTCTACGAAATCGTTTGTTTGAGCAATTAATTCCTTGCTGTTTCGGCCTATTTCCGAGCTGTCCTTTTCGGAATGAGTCACTTCGATGCGGGGTTTTAGGCATCCATTTGGGTTTACAACTATAAGAATACATTCTTCAGATGTTAAATTAATTTTATAAGCAATTAAAAAAAATGTGTCAAAAAATTTCATTCTACATGACCCTTTCCCCTTAGGGTAAGTCGAGAATTTCGGATTTTTCTGGGCATTTTAGCAACTGAATCATTTTGACATGTTAAACAGTTTTCGAGTAACATGTTTTTATAACCTATGCAACCTTTTACGAAGATCCTGTATTTTAGAAATACATAGCAGTGCGCTCTTCTGAACCAACTTACTTGTTAAATATTTCACATATGTTCTTTGATTAAAATCTGAAAACAATATGGATAATTAATAAAACAGGAATATGGAAGAATGAACATTATGTAGAAATAATTAACTTCACATTAAAAAACTAAAATTTAATCACATATTTCAAACGAAAGAATGAAACTCATTACATGAGTATAAACAATATTAACTCACTCTTATTTATTTAATTTTTTTTCTTCAAGAGACTATGCAATTCAAACGTAATTTCGAACATTCATGGTTTCATAAAACAAATCACATCATATAGTACTGAAATGTATGGTGTCTTAATCGGCAGTTCTTATCTTTCAATCAACGGTAAAAAATAAATACATAAATAAATAATAATAATAATAATAATAATAATAATAAAAAAAAAAAAAAAAAGAATCTAAAAGGTTTCAGATTTTAAATTACGTCCAAAGGGGCTTTTTTTTTTTTTTTTTTAAACATTTTGTGTGTTACCTTATCAAATATCATGACCTTCGCAATTAAACCATAAAGTTCAGTTCAAGAGCAATATCGCAAAATAAATTTTAAATGAGCATATTTTTAGAATTTTTGATACGCAGTCTCGCACGCTGGAGATTAAACTGTTTTTTCTGTACAACGTTGCCATGGCTCACTTTGAAATCCTTGAGTTTGTTAATAAAAAATTTGTTAAAGTTTTACAAAATATGAAATCGATAATAAAAATTACATTATTCAAAATTGGATGGCTCTAGGTACCGCTGTTTTACCACAACGCAAGAAACATACATACATTTATGCAGATTCTTCATTATTTAATTTCTTCAAATATAATACAGAGTGATAATATTTGGTGGCAACAATTTGAAAAGTGTCCCAATATTTATAGTGAACCGACGCAAAATGACAAAACAAAATGAATAGTCTTTCTGGGCAAATTGCCCCTTTGGACTGACTGAAAAAATAAAATAAGTGAAATGCGCACTGAAATGTATGGAATTAGGGAACTTCAAACGTTCCACAGTATAAATTTTCCTCCAGAATTTTTTTAATGCATGTGGCTTATTTACAGATTTGTGCAGCATTTGGGAGAATCTTTGCTAAACGATGAATCGGAAGATGGAATACGATTGCCTTGACTGCCCTGATCTTGAATATCCATTTACTTAATTTTGAGGATAGAGTGCATGATCCAGTCTACGTCAAAAGTCTACAGAACGTGTATTTCTTAATAAATAATGCATCAAGTCACCATATAAATGATATTGTTTATTGAAATAGGTTTCGAAGAAATAGAAAAATAAGTAAGATATTCAGTTAATCAAATTTATATTCCCCATCTGAATTAATAATATTCTTTCAATACTTTTAATATGTTTTTTAATGCTTTTTTTTTTAAAGAAATCAACCAACCGGTTGGTTGGAGAAGTAATCTGGAAGGTCCGCTTTAAATACCTCATGGAAATTGTACCTTTTTTTTTTTATCAATGGAATTTTGCAAATTTCGTCTGTTGCATTAGAATAAGCACTTCAAAACCATTTCTCCCCCCTCCCAAACCATGTCACATAACAAGGGCAAACGACGACTGCGAAGGAACGACAGAATTTTATAATTTGCTAAAATCCCCTAATTCCGTTTGTGCGGTGATGACGGAAACGTTACGAACGCAAATGAGGGGAGGGTCATTACGACCTTGAAATGCCTATTTTAAAGTAACAGACTATAATCTTTTTTTATTATCAATCACTGGACGATTTAAAAAAGATTTTTTTTTTTTTTACTCTATTGCTGAGACGTTCTCTTCGATAAGCATCAGTAAGTCTGTAGAGTTACGAGGCTTTAGAAAACAGGAAATAGAAAAAAATAGCAATGTCTTCGGCGTGATTCGAACTCGGGACTTCCCGAATGCTAGTCAGATGTGCTTCCGATTACGTCACGATGGTACGCAATACGGAAGGTGAAAATTTTTTACATTGTCCTTTCCTTAATGAGCGAGTGACGAGGAGAGAACGCAGTTGCCAAAAAACATTTTAATTTGGGAGTCACTTGAAGAGTTATTAGCGGTTTCAAAGCAAGAAAACAGTTAAAATCTGCAATGCGCTCGTCGGGATTCAAACTCCGGACCTCCCGATTCCTAGCCGGGCGCGCTTCTAGTTTTACCACGAAGGAACGCGGTAAGGACTAAGAAAGGGTTCCAACTTTCTTCAAAAGGCGATGAACAGTAGATGATGATGAAGGAATCTCTTTACCTACTCTTCAAGAGCTGCACACGGATTTCTTTCAATTGCAGCTTTCAATACATCATTATCGAAAAAGACAAACGATCATAACGGCTGTCACCTTTCAAGCAAAGGTCGTCGTGGCGAAATTTACGTAACTCTCGTTGGCACTTGCGAATATTCAAAACAACTTTAATATACATGTTTTCTACAATTTTTACTGCATCGCTGCACTACTATCTATAATTTTTTATAGAATACCATAAAAAATCTAACGTTAAATTTCTTTAGAATCTTCCAGAATTATGGCCCAAGTCTTTTACAGATTTCTAGAGTATTGTATACAATTTTAGATATAGCTCCTATAGAGAATTTTGTGAATATTCTATAGAGATATGTGCAGATTCTATAAAAAATTAAAAAAAATTTACACATTCAGAATTCACATTTAGAATCTTATGCAATGTGTACAGAATTAACTAACATAATTCTACTCTAAAATAAAATAACCTAACATATCAGAATACCAGTAAATTCACGAAAATCAGTCTCTTTTTCTGTTTCTGGTACTCGTTTTTCATTCAGCTGCAGCTGAATACTGAAGCTGAAGAAGCCGATAATACTGAATCGCTTGAAAACACTCCTGTTAATGTACAATATATGTCAGTCAAAATTGCCCCCCTTTTTTTTGGGGGGGGGATACTCAGATTACCTGTCATGTCGTTCTTACTTATTTCCTAATAAAATTAAAGAAACTTGGGCTTAACTACTCCTCGAAAGCTAAAGAATTAAAAAACGCTACGAAAGAAGAAAATGCATTATAAACAGATTTCAAAAAGCAATTGCAGTTAAATAGAATATCAGGTAACTGAACAGAATAAAATGAATGACTTCTGATAGAAAATTAAAGGGCATAAGAAAAGTCTTAAAGTTGTTCTTTTCGCTAAAAATAATATATTAGTAACTAAGAAACGAAATGAAAATTTTGAAAAGTAAGATAAACACAATTAAAAGTTTGAAACTAACTAAAGACAATTTTAACAGTTAAATTTCCTACATTTTCCTTATTATTACTTCAGCATTATTTTAAAAGGAAATTGTAAAATCTACTTCAGATCCAATTCTGGAGTTCTACATAGTCGTACTAAAAATAACTGATATTTTCCCGTCTATTTAGAAACTCCGACATAAAGAGCATTACGGGTTGGAATAAGATAATTACATTGGTTAATTATGCGCCAATAATTACAAATATGCAAATTTTTTAGGTTTCGTGGCAACAGCGATTTATTCTTCCAAAAGAATATGAATTCAAAAAGAATATGTTAAGAAATGAATAATTTGATGATTCCCTGAAAACTAGGTAATTTTCCTAAACGTAACATGAGTAGCACATACTTTACAAATCACGCTGGAAATAGATAGAAGAGTACTATACCTTAAATGTGCATAAAAAAAAAAAAAAAAAAAGTTTATAACGTGCATCACTTTAACACACCATGAAGCACACTTCATAGCACATACTAGGAGCGTATCCAAAAGTACCAGTGTTGCAAGTTGAAATTTACATAAAAAACACGCTTGTAAACACACCATTTCAGCATATCATGTAGCACACTTTACAGTACATGCTGGAAACGTATCGAAATGTACGTCACAAGAACAGTGTTGTAAGATGTGCGACATAAGCACGCCATGTAGTGGTTTGATGTTCGTAACTACCCAGTGTTGAAAAAAATGTGCGCCACCCTAAGAACATGACTGTAACATGCACCACTTGAACACGCTGTAGAATATACTTTAGAACACTTGCTGGGAACGTTTCGAAACTTATTAGAATGTATTTCTGCTACGTTCCACTAAGTACGAATGGGCATTTCGTGCTTAGTAGAACGTACTTTTATAAAACTTGCTAGGAACGCTTCAGGGGAGGGGGGCGGAAGTTGAGTTGTATGTTGAAATGGGTGAAATTGCTGAGATGTTGTTAGTCAAAATATTGAAACGTCCCAATTATTATGCCCTAAGATGTAATAGAACATGGTTGTAACACGCATCATTTTGGCGTGTTACAACCATGTAACACGCTGAAATGATGTTACATGTGTTACGTCAGAATTATTATGCCCGTAATAGAACACGGTTGTAACACGCATCATTTTAGCAAGTCTTGCAAAACGTTCTAAATGCATTTAACACCGTAATAGAACGAACAAACACGCTCCCTGAACGTGCTCTAAAATTCCGCTTGCGTAATTGCGACGCCAACAAGAACCAAACTGCAACCTTTACTAAATAATACAAAAATAGGCAAAAGTCAAGATCTACCGAACTTTAAAATAAAATGAAAAGCATGAATATGTTCGTATGAATAAAAAGTTTGCAAAAGGGGTACGAAAAAGAAGGAAAGATATCTTGAAAGTAGCTACAAGGAACTTCCTTTAGATAGCATCCAGATTCTTCCCAAATAGAAACTGGAAATTTCTATCTGTCAGATGACCCAAAATTGAAGATATCAAAATCAACTGAATCGAATTAAAACAAAATTAGACTTAAAATATTATACATTATACGTACTAAAACGAAGAGTACAAAATACACAAATGAAGTAAAGAAATTCCAGCAAAACATCACTTTAAAATTTTTTAGAAATTGAATCCATCTAGAAATAGGTAGAAATTTATTGTAATGACGAACGGTATTTTGAATACATTTACAATATTTAAAAAGATGAATTATTAAATTTCTAACAGAACAGGTCGCTAATTCATGATGTCTTGCCATGTTCACGTCAAATATAGAACTTGTAACATTCCTTATGTTAATCTAACCA